CCTTTTATCCTAGCATTCTGGAGGCAGAGATCCACGTTGATCTCTGTGAGTTCAAGGCCACACTGGGGAACAGAGTCAGGCATGGTGACACGTGCCTTTAATCCCAGCACTAACCATAGAGGTCTGGAGGTCTGTATAGACAGACAGGAAGTAATGTAGCTGGGCAGAGAGAGGAAGTGAGATGCAGAACAGAAAGTCATGTAAAGCATGGACATACAGGAAGTAGGTCTCTTTGGCTGAGAATTTCCAAGTGATAAGAATGTGACTGGCTTTTTTTTTTCTTTCTGCTTTTTTGATCTCTCAGTTTTTACCCCAATATCTGGCTCTGAGTTTTTAATTAATAAGACCTTTTAAGATTCGTCTTATACATTTGCATAAGAAATAAGCACATTTCTCTCATCTAGGTCAGACTCAAAGGAAGGCAGACCCCACCCCACACATTGTGTCCATTATTATTTAAAAACCACAAAGGACAGCAGTGTTATTTACTTTCTCCTGGTTTCTTATAAATAGACATACCCCTTTGAGGGCACCTCAGTAGTACCAAGAGCAAGCCATTCTTTTGAGTTCTGTGTCTCATTAACTAATGGTATATGTGAGTTAGAAAACACCGAGACAAGCAGGTAAGGGTTACATAAAAGAGCTGCAAGGGAACAAAGAGCTTTGGATAGAAGATGACACCCAACATCAGCCTCTGGCTTCTATACACATTTGCACACACCTCATACAAGCACATACACACATACACAAGTTTAGAAAAAGGCATACTTTAGAAACTTCTACTTAACACTGATAAATATCTTTACAGTTCTCACAAATGAAATTTACTCCTTTGTCCACCTAGAAGTGTAGTGTGTCGTTCAGACGTACTGTTAACATTACATTGCTGTGCAGCTGTTACCACCACTGGCTAGAACTTCTTCATTTTCCCAAACTGAATCCCCACAAGCAGAACCAATAGATTCACATTTCCTCTTTATGAAGGTAACTATCCTGGGTTTCTCTGATAAATGGAATCATGCAGTATTGCTTTTCTGACTAGCTTATTTTACTTTACAGTTTGTTCACAATTCGTGATGTACTGTGTGTACATTCATGTGCCCATGTACATCTCACTCCTGTTTGAAATTGAGTCTTATTCCATTGTGTGAATGCATCAGTTTTCTTCATCCGCCACTGGGGACTTCAGTGGCTTCCTTCCTTAACCTCCTACTCTGAGCTCAGTTGACTTTTGAGTTCCTATTTTCAGTTCTTTTCAGATCCAGGAGTAGAACTACTGGATCTATATAGTAATTCTGGTTTTTATTTATTAAGAAACTACTATAATGTCTCCATAGCAACTGTATCATTTTTATGTTCCACTGGTATGAATCTTCACCTTCCTCTACATTCTTGCCACCCTTACTAGTTACTAGTTACTAGTTTCTTTTTTTTTAATGATAGCCATCATTAATGAGTGAGAAGTTGTATCATGTTATGATTTTCTCTTGAATTCCCCTGATCAGTTAGTTATATTGAGATTTTTTTTTTATGTGCTTGTGCAAGTTCTTTGCCCATTTTTAATTAGGTAGGGGTTTTGTTGCTGTTGTTGTTGTTGTTGTTGTTGTTGTAGGAACTTTCCTTAAGTTCTAGTTATTAATGCTTAATAGATACTGAATTTACAAATATTTCTCACCTTTCAAAGATACAATTTTTAAGTCGCTGTTTTTACAGGGCAGCAGTTAATAGACTTAATAGCCCTCGGTCAGAGTCAAGTGATTTTCATATGAAGTGAGAGAGAATGAGCGGGTCCTTTGACCTTTGGGTTTTGCTTCTTTCTAAAAGAAACGTTTTTTTACTACTTGGCCATTATTTAGGTTACCCAAATGTCCACTAGGTGGTGCTCTAACTACACATCAGATGTTTTCATAAAGCTGAAGATAAGTTACCAAGTTGTTCCAATTTAAAAAAAAAAAAAATTGATTCAAACAGAAAAGCCATTATTTAATTCGGACAGAGTCATCACCCCTGCAGAATACTTGGTGTAGAAATTGTCCCTAAGGTTGTGAGCCACTGTTTTCCATCTTCCCGCTGCTGATAGTTGGTTCAGGGTTTCATTCCATTCCGACACGTGCTCTCGCGCCTCCGAGAGTCCGGAGGGCACTGGTGGCTCTGCTGTGTGGCTTTGTCCTTTGAGAAAGGAAGCCGCACGTATGTGCAGGCTGCTTGCTCATGTGGGGCTCTTTTGAGAGAGCCTCAGATACAGAGTAGGAAACCAGATTTCTAGTAATTTTCCCATTTATCTTTGGTAAGTCACTTAATTTCTGTGACTTGTTTATCTTTGAAAGAAGAGGGACACATTAAATATAAATTCTTGCCTGAAAGCTTAAAACTTGCGTCCTCGGCCTTCCTTTTTTTTTTTTTTTTTTTTGAGCACCCTCTTTTTCTCTTTTGATCATAAAATAGATGGGAACTCACATTATTGCTCATGGCATGAGGTGAAGTTGACATATCAAGTCACTTGTTTAGAAACTTTGCGACTTTCACTGGTATGTCAGCATTAAACATTTCCAGTCATCTATAAGCCTTTAACGACAACAAGAATAAAAACCAGCCCAAAAAAAAAAAATGCACTTGTTTTAGGGTGACCTGTTGCAGAAAGGACAGAAATAGCACATCTGTGGAATATTTGTGTAGGCGTCCCAAAGCAGCTCGTCCTGCTCGCCACCTACTGCCTTTTACACGGTTCTCACCCAGCTCCCCTGGGTCAGCTGCCACCGTTTCCAGAGTTCTTCATTTCAGCCCCTAGATCTGTTTGTGGATCATAACTCAGGCCTGCTCGGTTTTTATTTGCTTTGTAATGCATGTAAATGCCATCTCTTCACGTTTGGTCTGTTCTGGTATAGTAGTCTCTTACCAAACTGAGAGCCACCTTTCTCGAGAGTGTGTCAGTCGGCACAGTCACACGCGGTAAGGCAGCTGTCTTACGGGAGAGGAGTTGGGGAAGAGGACTAAGGGATTCGTGAGTATGCTGTTAGCACAGTACATGGCCGTTAAGAAAGACAAAGGCAGGCCAAAGCCCCAACCCCCTTTCCTGCGCTCCCAAACTCAGCACGAACATTGCAGTCAGCTCTGCTGCTCATGCTCTCTTACCCCGGTTCATCCAGTGCCTCTGACACTCACTCATTCACCCTTTCTTTATTTCATTCCTCTGATAGCAACAAAATGCCTGTGCTCTAGTCTGACCTCTGCACAAGTTATCCCGGGGCTAAGGGCACGGCTTCCTGGGACGTGCATGAGTCCAGTCAGCTTACTGTGGACTAGCTCTGCCACATGATGTGGTCTCTGGTAAGCGGAATGGCCATGCCAGCCACAGATGTTAATAATGGCAAGGGAACAGAACTGAGCTTGAGATTTTCAATATTTGGCGTAGAAGTAGACATTTTAAAGCCATCTAAAGAAGAAAACAAATAAGTAAAAGTTAAAGCCCTGTTTCTTGTGCTTGTGAAGATTGGCCCTCGCCTATTGAAAGAGGTAACATGCTTCCAATGTGATGGTGCTTAGGAGTCCTAACTCTTAGGTTCCATTTCACAGGATCAGTGTTATAGCAAGTCTTTGTTTCCCATAGTCTGCTCAACTCAGGCTGATACCCGAGTTTGTAGGTATCGTACATCTTAGGCTTTAGCCCGATTGCTGAAGAAGGCAGATCTGTCAGCAAGCTGCCAGCAGAGAAGGGCAAGCTGTGGAGTAGCTTTGAGAAGGCCTGGTGAAAGCCAGTGCAGGAAATGGAGGCTTATGGGGTAGGATTGGAGAGGTCTCTTGGGAAGGAGAATCGGGATGAATCAGAGAGGAGTTCAGTTCCCTGTCTCACTTCACGAATAGGCAACCTTGGAGTTCAGAACTGTAGAGGGGAATGAGACCATCATCCCCTCCCCTCCCCTCCCCTGAGCAAAATTGTCCTTAGAGAGTGTATCACTTGGGGAAGAAAACTCAGCTGCTGTAACCATGAGTCCAAAATGGAGTTCTTTAAAGGGCTGGGGACTAGCTTCTCTTTTAAGGAAGCACTAGGGCTCAGCAGCACTTCCCTGAACCCTGCTCCCCATTCCCTGGGCCATGGCTGCATATGGCTCACCCTCCATTGGTTAAAAAACCACCAGTTGATCTCCATCTTCAGAGTGTTTCCAGATGAAGTCTGGCTGGATCCATTATAGTGGCCCCACCACCTTTTAGCTGTGATTTTTCTTTCTCTGAGTTATTTGCTATTACCTGTGGTACAAAAATACTAAATAAAAATTTTCATAAATAGCAACTCATATGCTTTAGTTAGATGGTTGCCATAATTATTCCATTATACTGTTGTTGTTTTTTTAAGTTACATATTAGCATTGTTACATATATGCAGGTTGAGTGCTCCTTATCCAAAGTGCTGGGGCTATTGGGGTCTTACATTTCAGGATTTTTAGACTTATCTGTTTGGGGTTTGTTTTCAGTTCTTTCTTAGATTTGTTTTATGTATGGGAGTAGCTTTGCCTGCGTGGGTGTATGCACACGGTGTGTGCAGTGCTCTCAGTTCAGAAGAGTGTTGGATCCCCTGGTACTGGATGGTTGTAAGCCACCACGTGGGTGCTAGGAATTGAACCTGGAGCTCTTCTGCAAGAGCAGTGGCGTTTTTAACTGCTGAGCCAGCTCTCCACTCGCTGTTTGGGACTTTGTTGGCAGTGGTTATAATTTTCTTTCATTTTGTTGTTGCAGTGCTGGGGTCTAACCCAGAGCTTGGGCCTGCGAGGCAATTGCTCTGCCACTGGGCTACTTCCTGGCACTTGGGGTTTGCTGGTACTTGTTCTTCAGGATTTTAGAATGTTTGCTTATCCATAAGATCCCTGGCAATGAGATCCTAATCTAATCATGAATTTTGTTTATTTTATATATATATACTTAGCATAAAGGCAATTTTATGCAACATTTCTAGTGAGTTTTGATTGCAGTGTTTCACATGAGGTCACATGTGGAATTTTCCAATTATGTCACTACTCAGTGTTTCAGAGTTTGGATTATTTGGATCATTTCAGATTTCACATTCAAATTAGGAACCATACAGTTTCTGTGAAGGAAAAGTATCTATGGGGTTTGTGTTGTATGAAGATTAAGACATCCAAGGAACTTCTTAAAACATGCAGGTCAAAAATGACTTATCTGTTATATATTGAGGGGTTAATGCACTTAGCCAGTGAATAGCCTTCCATAGAGGTTGATGAGAATGCTGCTCAAGCTGCTGTCTGTAAGTTTAGCTTTTCATAAACCTACACCCATACCATGTGTTTTCCATGTCTTTCCTTAAAGAGCTCTAGTGCCCCGTCATTGAACTGGTCACTCCCAAGACCACATTGTATCTGCCCCTCAAAATCCTGCTAATTTATACACGGCTGGCAGCATGATTATGAAGGAAGGAGCACAGGAGCAGCTCAGCTGTACCTTTTTGCTTTTTATTGGGATCATTAAAAGAAAACCATGGGAGCGCCCGGAGATCCCGTGTCTGTGTCTTGCTTCAACAGTGTTTGGACGGAGCAGACCCGGGGACTCCCTTTGTTAGCGTCCAGCCGCCTCCCAGTGTCTCCAGTCGCAGCCTCTGGGACCATCTCCTCGCAGCCTTCGGATCCCAGGACCAGCCAGCACCGTCTCTTCGCGGTTAGCTCCATACTGCGTATCAGCCATGAGCTACCAGGTCCGTCAGAATTATGCCATCGAAGTGGAGGCTGCAGTGAACCGCCTGGTCAACTTGCACCTGCGAGCCTCCTACACCTACCTCTCTTTGGGCTACTATTTTGACCGGGATGACGTGGCTCTGGAGGGTGTTGGCCACTTCTTCTGCGAATTGGCCTAGGAGAAGTGCGAGGGCGCCGAGCTGCTGCTCAAGATGCAGAACGATCGCGGAGGCCGGGCACTCTTCTAGGACGTGCAGCAGCCATCTCAAGATGAGTGGGGTAAATCCCAGGAGGCCATGGAAGCTGCCTTGGTCCTGGAGAAGAGCCTGAACCAGGCCCTTTTGGATCTTCATGCCCTGGCTTCTGCTCATACAGATCCTCACCTCTGTGACGTCCTGGAAAACCACTTCCTGGATGAGGAGGTGAAGCTCATCAAGAAGATGGGCAGCCACCTGACTAACATCCTTAGGGTGGCTGGGCCACCAGCCAGCACAGACTGGTGTGCCCCCACCATCTCTGGGCGAGTACCTCTTCGAGAGGCTCACTCTCAAGCATGACTAGGAGGCGTCACCTTCCAAGGGGCTCCCTCCTCTGCTCTGGACCAGCCAGCCTCAGGATCTTTACCCAAACCACTAGGCAGCTTTGTTAACTGCTCTGGAGCCCCTCCCAAGTCTCGGGACCAAGTGAAAATAAAGCATTTTGAAATAGTAAAAAAAAAAAAAGAAAAGAAAAGAAAAGAAAAAAGAAAGAAAGAAAGAAAGAAAGAAAGAAAGAAAGAAAGAAAGAAAGAAAGAAAGAAAGAAAGAAAGAAAGAAAGAAAGAAAGAAA